CAATTCCCCAAGAAAAATCTTAAAAAAAAAAAAAGAACCATGAAAATACTTAAAAGAAATCATAGAAGAATTATTTTATAATCTCAGACTAGGTAAGAACTTTCTACTTATAACACAAAATCCAGGGACTAAAAAAGAAAATTATTAATAAATAAACTACATTTTAATAGTTTTAATGAAAAATGTAAGCCATAGCCAAATGGCACATTCGTTTAAAAAAAATGCATCTCACTACTCAAATGGCTAATCCCCCCATATTTCAAAAAAGACTAATAATCAAATGGAAAATCTGGGGGAAAAAATCAGTTTACAGAAAATATTAAGTGGTTCTTTAACACATGAAAATATTTAACCTCACTCATCACAGGATAAATACAAACGAAAAACATAAGAACTACTCCCCTTTTATAACATTGCCAAAGACTAGTATTGCCCAAGATAAAAAACACCTAACACATTCCAAGAACCAGAGCACAGAAAACAGATACTCTGACCTATCACCAACAGGAGTATGAATTCAGACACTCTGAGTAGAGCATTAGAAATATTTATCAAATTTTATAAACTCTCATATTCTTTGATCCAATAACTTTATTTCCAGTTTATCTTTAAATATTCATAAAACAATATCATGCATCTTAAAAAAAAACACTACTAATTGTGGGGGAAGCAGCAGCAAGGCAGAAAACAGTATATAACCATTTGTGTTTAAGAAGGAGGAGAAAAAAATATATATATTTCCTCATATATACAAAATTAATGTTGGAGAAACTGCTAACACTAGGAGATGAGGTATAGACACGGGAGGAAGACCCTGTATCATTTTGAATTGTGAAACTTGTGACTTACGTAGTATTTCATCAAAAAAATAAATACAACTTAAATTTCAAAGTGTTTTCATACTATTTTTCTAATAAAAATGAGAGAAAATATAAGATTGGATTGTATTTTAAAAAATTAAAATAAAATAAAATTGGATTGTATTTCAAACCAGCTTACTTGGTGGTTTGTTTAAATGAGTTCAGTTTATAGTTGAGTTGAGTTTTATTTAAGAACAATCTAAGATTCATTTTTTTCTTGGGGTTTACCATTTATTTTAACTCAAGAACAGCTCTACCTAGAATATCCTCATTTCACCTTTGAAAAGTTATTTTTTAAATATGTAAAGTTGCAGAAATGCAAACTGTGACCAGTAATGGAGATTTGGAAACACATTTGAATGGTTAAAGTAGTAAAGATAAACCATATTAACACAAATGTGTACATTAAGTAATTATAAGGCTTCAGACAATTAAAAAGTGTTCTTAGATCTTGAGGGAAAGAGGGGGAGAAAAAAAGAGAGAAATATTAAAAATGAAAAAGAATATATGTCCTGGTAGCAAAAAAGTTTGGAAACTTACCATTTGGTGCTTAAAAAGAAATATTGGAGTGTCAAGACAATTAAATAGGGAAAGAATAGTCTTTTCAACAAATACTAAGTACCGGGACAGTGGATATCTACGTTTAAAAGAGACACTTCCTGCCTTAGAACATACACAAAATTACCTCAAAATGCATCAAAGACCTAAATGTGCAGAGCTAAAACTATAAAGCTCTTAGAAAACAGAAATAAATGGTTTTCTTAGCTATGACACCAAACCACAAGCAGAAAGAAAAAATAAACTGCACATACCAAGATCAAAAACTTTTGTGCTATGATGATACCAATCAAGAATATGAAAAGGGCCAGCCGAGTGGCTCAGTTGGTTGAGTTGGCTTAACAGCGCGAGCTCTGAGCAACAGGGCCACTGGTTCGATACCCACATGGGCCAGTGACACTACGCCCAAGCTGAGCTGCCACTGAGATGCCAACAGGTGGCAGGATGGCTCAGCTGGTGTAACAAGATTGCCTGTTTGATGGTGGGCTACGTCCACCTGCAACTAAGACTGAACTCAGCACTTTGAGCTGAGCTGCCGCCCGGATGGTTCAGTGGATAGAGCGTGCACTCTTAACAACAAGGCTGTTGATTCGACTCCTGCATGGGATGGTGGCTATGCCCACCCGCAACTAAGGTTAAACACAGCACCTTGAGCTTAGAGGCCATGAGCTGCTGACAGAAAGCCAGATGGTGACTGGCACCCTCCACAATGAAGACTGAACAACAACTTGACTGGTACCCTGCCCCAATTCCCCAACACTGTTCCCCTCCCCCAATTCCCCAATAAAACCTTAAAAAAAAAAATATGAAGACAACACACAAAATAGGAAAAATACTTGCAAATTATCTGACAAGGGATTTGTGTCAGAAAATACATAAAGAATTCTTAAAACTAAGTAATAAAAATAAATAATCCAAAAGATCTGAGCAGACATTTCTCCAAAGTAGATATACAAATGGCTAATGATCACATGAAAAGATGCTCACCATTAGTCATGAGGGAAACGCAAATCAAAACAAAGAGATATCATTTTCATATCCACTAGTATGGCTATAATCAAAGAGACAGACAATAGTGTTGTTGAACATAACTGGGCCCTCATTTATTGCTGGTAGGAATGTAAAATTGTGGGGCCACTTCTTTTTTTTTTTAATATTGGGGAATTGGAGGAGGGAACAGCATTGGGGAATCAGGGAAGGGGAAGAAACAAGTTGCTGTCCTTTTGTTTTTCAGTCTAGTTGTGGAGGACTTCGCTTCACTGGCCCATGCTGCGCTCTTCCCAGGTGAGGTAAATGGGTCGCCGGCCATCGGAATGCCACTCAAGGCAGCTCATGCCAGCTACCGGACACTCACTCTGGCTGCCTGCCATTCACAGTAGCTTACAG